ACAGAAGTATTGTGAGCATAAGCTTTCGTGAGTAAGAACCTTACTTCTTCAGATGCAAATAATGGAAATTTCCAGAGGCTTGCATCTGAAGAAGTGAGGTTCTTACTCACGAAAGCTTATGCTCCCAATACTTCTGTTAGTCTTAAAGGTGCCACAGGACCCTCTGTTGCATCTTTCAGATGGCATCCAAGATAACAGTCCTTTCTGGGGAAAAGAGAAGAAGTTTAGCTGAGATGACCTGGAGGAAGTGTTGTTGTTAAAGTCCGATCTAGTTTCCTAAATGACACAATGAGAGAGAGGGACAAGAAGCAAGAGAAAAGAACAGCAAAGATAGAAAACGCAGCTGCTGTTGACTCTCACTGCTGAAAAACCCAGGCACAGCACAGTCTGATCAGCCACTTCAAGACCTGGCAAACTTGTATTAGCATCAAGCTGTTTAGATCATTGCATTTAGCTGCCTCTCTGGTCACAGGCTTGCAAATTTTACAGTCCAGGCTAGCCAAGCCAGGCAGAAGGAAAAAGAGACAGAAAAGAGAAGAAATAAAGAGGGGAAGAAAAAGAACTGGCGGGGGAGGGGAATGAGCATGCAGCAGGTGACAGTCTTACATCCAGGTCAGTTTCCCCAAGCCAATGGCTCATGGGGCTGATGTGTTTAAGGCATGTCAGTTTCATAGCCAATGTTACCCAAGGGAGAAATGTGGCTAGCAGCACATCCAAACGCCTTTGGCTGCCCTAACCTGCTGGATCATTTGGCCACTGTGTGAACTGGAGATGGCCTTTCAGTGTGAGATCAAGTGAGACTCAAAAGCACAACTTTTGGGGTTGTAGTTGAGTTAAGTACTCAGCCACTGCACTCACTCACATCCCAGGTGCTAGTTGGGTTTAGCTGCAGCTGGTGGAGGTGCTGCTATCATCTGAATCCTCTGTCAGGACATCTCTCAGGTTAGGAAGAAGATGGTCTGTGGGTCCAAGAGACAGTGGGGGTGGCAGCCATGATGTTGTAGCTCACTCTTTCCCCTTTTTTCAGTCAGCCAGAGTTGCGGTAGCCTCCTCCTTATTTCCCCAAAAAAGTCTTTTCTTTTAAGGAACCCAAAAGGGAGTGATGGGTAGAATACCCATACCCTCATTATTTGGTTTACCAGTTAGGTCTAACTTCTGACACACCAATTCTGGTCTCACTGTTCTTATATACCAGGCATGATTTTAACACAGTTCTGGAATTGTATCCGTAGGTCTCTTTGTTTGGACTAAATCAGTCTTTGTCTCTCTTTTGTACCTTTTCCCATCATTTGATGTTATTGTGACATTTTATGAACTTCGAATCACTTTTTACAGTGGAGCTCACAATTAGGGTCAGTTTGTAGGACCAGTTACCACAACCGTCCATCGAAATGATAGATGCTGGGTTTATGGGCAAGGAAGCTACCACTGAAAATGCTGTGATTTGGTGCCTTTTCTTGGCCTTTTACAGTCTAAGGCCTAGAATAAAACACCTTGTGCCCACTGAAAAGAAAGTACCAGGGAAACTAGCACAATCCTGCTTCCGGTCTGAACAGGGATTTGATCGCTTGGCATTCACAACACTGACTTTCCAGTCATCCCGGTCGCTTCAGCACACAGTCCGATGGCTCTGCCAGCCATGCTTCCCAAGTTCAAATCCATGGTGATGTGCACAGCGTCTGTTTCAGTGGCTGAGTGCAAGATGGATGATATTGGAACTCTCCAAGTGGAAAGTGAAAAATAGTAGGCTCCCTTGCAGGGTCAGGAGGCGTTCCCTTTACATATGCTCTAAGCAGAAAAGAGGCTTATGGATGTACTGCACCTTTTAAATCTTGGGTCCCCTGACAGCAGACTAAAGTGTTGATATTCCACTGATTAACACAGTCTGCTGCCAGCTAACAAGTACTTCTCTACCGTCTTGCTAGACTCAGCATAGCCCCAGTCGCTTGGATGCTTAAACCCTGAATTTGATAACCACATATCCTCACATCCTATGAATATATCTTCCCACCAAGGGATGCAGTCTGAGGAACATTCAGTTAATTTTAAAAGATGCAGAATGGCATGCTGTGAGTGTTTGTTTTTTGTTGTGGGAGTCCATGCATGTTGATATTTGATTTGCCTAAAGCATATGTACCTCATTAACTGCCAGACCAAGAGATGCTACTGGGGAACTGTATATGGTGGTTCCAGAACTGTAAGCTGCTGGTGTCTCACCTGTACTTTGGATCCATAATTTACTAAAATCAGGAAACCTCTTTAAAACAACCAGCTAACCCACAGAGATTTGTGTGCATGCATTAGCATGGGCATTGGTGCATTCTGACCACTACTGGTACAATAATCATAGTCTTGCTCCCCTTGTCTGTTTTGAGACAGGGGGCTACCCTTTGCCCCAAAGAGCTTACAGTCTGAGATGGTCTTTCCATTATATGTAGCATGTCTTGTGCAATGGAGCCATGCAATACTAACTTGGGAAATGTGAAAATTGTGACTCTCCTGGGAGAACTGAAAACTTCGTTACCTTGAAGCAAACTCCTTTGCAACAAATGTTTTCTCTTGGTGAGGAGATTGGAAGGGCAATTAACTGCATGTAGTCCCGTGATGCATATCCTGCATCAAACCAGAATCTTGTAGCGAGGTCAGCATAATTCTACCTATCTTATTGAGTGGTGCCTAGAAAAGGGGAGGAGGAAGAAAGATGGGCTGCAGGTAGTGGCATCCGGTAAAAATATTGAACAGTCTTACGCCTTCCTTGCCCTCTATGCCAAAGATAGAGAGGTGCTGTTAAGATGGAATTACTGTGCTCTGCTGAGAGGGATCTGTAGAGGAAGTGTTATGAGTCCCCTAATCCTGTGTGTGTTGTGTCTCTAGCTAGCGTGAAGCAATGGCCATCCTGTTTGTCGTTGTTGCCAGAGGCACGACCATCCTTGCCAAACATGCCTGGTGTGGAGGGAACTTCCTGGAGGTGACGGAACAGATCCTGGCAAAGATACCATCAGAGAACAACAAACTCACCTACTCACATGGAAAGTGAGTAATGCTCTGTCTTCTGGAGTTGTGGGGAAGGGGGAGAGAAGGGACCTGCTTGGGGAGAAACTGAGTTTGGGCCATTTCTACTTAGTGATGTATTAAGACCTGAGAAGGGCAGTGCTCCCACCCACCTTTTTTCTTATGCTAAAAATTCAGGTCTTGAATGCCCTGTGAAGAACCAGGCGGATTATGACATCACATGTCAAGATTGAAAGCTGAGCAATTGATCTAATCATGCTTTCTGAAGTGGTGCTGAACATGGGATGCCCTGGGCTGCACTTGCGGTTCTGCAGAGTGTAAGGGCACCAGGTTTGCTGCACTGATTGCTGACACATCTTAAATGTATCAGTAGCCAAGATGTCTCATTGCTCAGGCAGTTCTTGGAAACTGGTCCCTCTAAGAAACCAGTGGAGTTGGTATTATCCTCTGGTATGGCTAGGAGGATCTTTGTACTAGGAGTTGGAGATTCAGGGGACATACCCAGAAATAGTCATCAACAGTGGGGGAGGCCAGAAGGGTGCAACTGGTTATGTGCAATTTTGGCTTTGGGCCATGGAGAGCGAAATCTGTCTGGGATAAGGCTTTAATATAGATTTATTTAAACTGTACTAAAGTGTGCTGACTCCCTGCCTTTACAATGCTGTGTGACCCAAACTGCCAGGTACAGAACTGTGGCTGGACCTCAATGGCACAGGTCAGATGGATGGTTTCCCAAAGTTCAGGGTGTTTCATTTCAATTGCATCTCTAATCTAGATCTGTAATCTAGAGTAACCCCAGACTTTCCCTCACACTGTAAAGGCCATGGGTCCAAAACTTGGTGCACTTTAGGATTCCAAGTGTGCTTTCAGGTAACAAGTGGCTGGACCTGCCTGCTCCATTGTTACACACAGGCTGGCTGATGAAATTTGTAGGAATCCCACAAATTATAGCTCTGACTGGGGAGGACTTTGACTGGGAGCACTTCTAAGTGTTGTATTTTAGGGATGTGTCTCATTGAATTGGCCTAGTATCTGCTTTGCAGTCTTCAATTTTTACAAAAATACTAAATCTTAATCTTGAGGATAGCTCACATTCCTTACTCCAATCCTGAGTTTCTCCTTAAAGCCAAGCTGGGCAGTTGGCTTGGCATGCCTCCATTAGTATATTTGATGCATGCTAATTGGGCTAATTCCTGATAGAGAGGATCTTGGCTCTGCAGTCTGTCTCAACTGCGCAGGGAGCTCAGATGAGGGATAATAATTACTAGCAGACATGTCTGCTGCCCAAGTGTGCTATGGGTTACACGTGACATGCAGCAGGAGTGTATACACCCCAGGCCTTGAGGGAGCTAATCTTGGAACTGCCTGAAGATATCAGCCTGGGGGTGGGTGGCTATAACTGGGGCAAGGGAGGATTATTGCTTTATTAAACACTTTGCTTGAATGGGGTGAACTGCATTTCCCAGACTTTCTAAACTACTGCAGTAGGATAATGCACAGTGCAGGCTTGGACCTCTGAGACTAGGCACACTCTGTATTCAGTATGAAATCCTCTCCCCAGCCAGAATCGCAGGGGCTCCCTCCTAGCAATCTAACTGCAGTGTTTGTATGCCCATAACAAAATGGGGAGAACCACCCCTTAGATTGGAACTCCTCTGTCCTGCTGTCCTTCCACAGGGGAGGGAAATGGGCAGATTGGCTTGAATTCCATACACCTCCTTTTGAAGAGTGTTTGGAAGGTAGGACGTCTTCTTACTTGTGTTCAAAATCCTCCAAACAGCCCGGCTTCCCTACTTGGGACCAGGCAATTCCTTCCCTCCCCTGGGACAGAGCAAAGATCATGGCTTGGAAGATACAGTTCAGTTCTGTCCAGTTGTGGTACTTGAGGTCACCTGAGCAGGGCACCTGGGGTGGCCTGAGGAGAGGGCTTAGCATTCAGAACTTAAGCAGTTACTTTCTGCCCAGCGTCCTGGCCCCCACAGACAGGGAGACCTGGGAATGCTCTTCCCCCTGTGCCAGAATGTCTGGAGTCTCTGCTTCTAAACCAAAAACAAACTCGGAGAGAAAATAGCTGAAGCCTGGTGTGTCCCTGTTAATGCAGAACTTTAGGAGTGAATGCCTGATCTTGCTGCACCCACTCCTGAAGCAAACACTCTGTCGTTTCAGGGTCCCTACCTAATGCTGTTTAGCATCTGGACTGCCCGATGCTATCCATTCTCTGCTGCTGCCATGAGGGAGCCTTCTGACATAGAAGGGATAGGGTTTATTTCCATTTTGGGAATAGGGTTGGGCTTTTAGGGGCTCACAACCACCCAGTAAAAATCAAGACCATGTCCAGAACTCCTAGTGGGGGGAGGGGGGCGGAAGGGTCTAACTGTGTGTGTGTGTGCGCGTGCGCAAACACACAGGTGAGGCAGAACTGGACAAATTGTACTAGGTAGACTGCATCTCTCAGGAATGTTGTGAGACTTAATTAAAGGCTTGTCCATTGTTTTTTACATCCTTGGATGAAAGAGGCTTTATAATAATTTAAAAGTATTACTAAGGTGCCCTTCTAAAACCTGGGACGAACACTGCTGTTGTACTCATTTATAGGTGTTTAATAATGCAGAACATCAGGGTTGCTTAAGTGTGTCAGTCTAGGTGCAAATGGAAAACTTAAGAATGAATGCAAGATTTAGAGCAATGTGACTGCTCGCTATTTCCAAGGAGTTGCACAGTTAATTAAATGCAGCCTAGCCGTTGGAGGATACCAATCACCATAGAGCTGTTTGTGTAAGCAGCTGATGGAGGCTTGTGGAGGCATTTGATGGAGGCCTTTGAAATTGGTTTAGTAAAAATATTAATCCAGTTATTGATACAACTTCTGTTGTGGTAGCACCCAGAGAGCCCAATCGTGAACTGGCCTCCTTGTGCTAGAGAATCATAGAAGATTAGGGTTGGAAGAGACCTCATCTAGTCCAACCCTCTGCTCAAAGCAGGACCAACACCAACTAAATCATCACATCCAGGGCTTTGTCAAGCCGGGCCTTAAAAACCTCTAAGGACGGAGATTCCACCACCTCACACATTCCAGTGCTTCACCGCCCTCCTAGTGAAATAGTTTTTTCTAATATCCAACCTAGACCTCCCCCACTGCAACTTGAGACCTGGGCCAGAAGATTTTAAAATGGAAATTTCATTGCTTCATTAAGCAAATTACTGTGTGGACACACTAGCTACACTTTTTCAAGGAATTTATGTTGGCTTGCTTTGGTAGGCACGATTGTTTGCTTTATACTTGGGATGATGTTGTATTGAATCTTATCTGTGGAAGCCCCTTGATGGTTTTACCTTGGTATGTTAAATGATTAGTACAATGCGTAACTTTAATACATTTGCAGTTACCCAGATGTCCCACTTGGCTGTTTATCCAGGGGTGGCCAAGTGTGGGCTGTGAGCTACATGTATCCATTGGGATACCAACATGTACCACTGCCCACAGCTTTGTTATCTTTAGTTCTATGCAGGTTACAATACAAAGGTCCCAGAAGAAACATGCGGTGATCAAGATGGAGCATGGCATACTGGGACCTGTTTCTTTTCTGCAAGTCACTCCACTCCTTAATTTCGGTGTGCCTGGCAGATAGCTGTTTGAACACATCAGACATTGGGGTCTTCTACAGCAGTTCATGGAGTCTTGTTGGCAGCTCTAAATAAGATTTGCTTGTTTTTTTCCCCCTTTTTTTTGCAGTTATCTATTTCATTATATCTGCCAAGACCGGATTATATACCTATGCATCACAGATGATGTAAGTATTTTGGATAACGCTACTATGCATACACCCTGAAAATGGTAGCACTTTTCTCTCTGTGCGTATCCATGAAAATCAATAATGGGCACAAAGCCATGGGTTCTTCAGTGGCATTCCTGCATATTTACACTGGTGTAACTCAGAACATGGGCCCCTCTATCTAAAGTCAAAGTTCAAATATTTTAGTTCAGTCTACCTCAATATCCAGCTGGTGTGTGTATGGGGGACGACAGTGTCTCCTTCCCACTGCACCAACTTCCCCTGCTACTTTCTACTTGCAAGTGAGTTGGTAAGATTCACCCAGCTACAATAGAACTACAAAGATCAGGTGACTTTCACTCTGCAGTCATCCCTAAGGCATCCTAGTCATTAGTACAGTACACTTAAGCTTTGCCCTCAACTGTGGAAGAAAGTACAAATAGAGGCTGTGAAGTCATTTGTCTTTGTTTCCCCTTAAAAAGTAAATAAAGCACAGGCTTGCTTTTGAGCTTTGTATGCCTGATTCCAGTGGGTATCCAGGGAGAAACAGACTGATACTAAAAAAGTGACTGCTGTTAACAAAGAGATTAAGAGGAAGAGGTAGCAAGGCTTTTGCAGGGTTATGCGCAGCATGGTCATTCGTGTTTGATAAAAGGTGGAGGGTCTCTAAATGGTTACATATCTCTTAAGTTTTTCTGTAGGCCACCTATCCCACAGTTTCCTAACTAGAACGTTGTCAGGTGACTTGCAGTTTTCTGCCTGATGTGAACATTTTGTTTTTACTTTTAGAACTTTGAACGTTCCAGAGCCTTCAGTTTCCTGAATGAAATCAAAAAGAGATTTCAGACTACGTACGGTTCAAGAGCACAGACAGCACTTCCATATGCCATGAACAGCGAATTCTCCAGTATCTTGGCTGCACAGCTGGTAAGATACATGTGGTCAGAAGGGGCTCTCTAACCAGTCTCATCTCTCCCTTGTAAACGCTCCTGTTGTTGGCTTTAAATCAGTGGTTCTCAACCAGGGGTATGTGTACCTATGGGGGTATGCAGAGGTCTTCCATGTCATCAACTCATCTAGATATTTGCTTATTTTTACAACAGGCATTAGCATTAGCAAAGTCAGTGCAAATTTAAAATTTCATACAGTCAGACTCCACTCCCATCCTTGGAAAGAGTTCTCCTAAGTAGGGAGGAGAGTGGTGTTTGGAGAGAAACATGCATGCATACTTTGTAATAGCTTGAGCAAAGCTGTGTTGGGAGCTCCTGCCTGAATATCGATGCGCTTCTCATCAGCAGGACTCATACACCTGAGGAGTATGTAGCCTTTCTAGGACTGGGCATGTCTAAGCACTTGATAGTCATAAGCACAGCCTGATGTAATCTGCTGTTCTGAGACTGGAGAATTTCCTGTAGAATCCACCCTTTGTCACAGATCTTGCTTCAGTCTCAACTTCCATATTGAAAATCTTTCAAGGGAATGTTAAAAATATGAACTGAATGTAACGAGACTGCCCGTAGTCTCAGGTAATATGGAAACAATAACTTTGAGTGATTAACTGCCCCATTCATTTCAATTAAGTGTTGACTCCTAATGACAGCTTAACGGCAACACTCTTTTATTGTGGATCGCTTGAGCAAAAACATTATGCTAATATTCTTATCCAACAATCCTAAACTGCCTCCTGAGTGTGGAAAGCTTTCACCCTACTGCTCTCACCCAGCTTCCTTCATAATGATGTTGATTATGCAGATAATTAGCATACTGGAAATGTGGGGTAGCACAAAAGGAAATACAAAATATCATGCGGTTGTAGTACTGCTTGTAGTATTCACTTTCCTATTGAATTCAATAAAATCCACTTGTATAATTAAATGAAGCTGGTACAGAATTTCCAATCAGTTTGCCACACTAGAGCACCACAGAATTTAAGTCTAGCTTTCTGCAGTGTACGCAGGGCCCTGATAACAAACTTTGTGACTAACCTTGCAGTTGCAGTTCCCTTTTCCCCAATGAGGATTGATGCACACAAGAGAAGTGACTTGTCCAAGACTGTACAAAATCAGATGGGACATAAACTCTGTAATCTTAGCTTCCACCTCAATTTTTATTTTTCCATGTCCCTCTGCCTCCTGTAATACCTAGTACTTGTCTAGTGTTCTTCACCCATAGATTTCAAGCCATCTACAAGGGTACTGAAGTAACAGGGAAGATAAACCTGAGAATCTCTGGGTAGAACTTCACTTGTAAGCTTTTGGAAATTAGCAAGCCAAAGTAGATGTAGGAAGTGGTTGAAAGCAGTCTGCAAGACCTGTACAGATAGAACACTGGTACAGTAACTCCACACTTAACGTTGTAGTTATGTTCCTGAAAAATGCGACTTTAAGCGAAACGATGTTAAGCTAATCCAATTTCCTCATAAGAATTAATGTAAATGAGGGGGTTAGGTTCCAGGGAAATTTTTTTCGCCAGACAAAAGACTACCTATATTATATTTGGATTATTATTATTGGATATTATATTTGGATTATCTCTCTCCCCTCCCACTTCCCCCAGCTTGCCAGCAAGCTCTTTAGGAGAGAACGGGGAGCTGAGATAGGAGAAATTGTTTTCATTCTAAACAGATCTGTAGCATCACTGACTCAGTTAATCTGTTACAGAAACACCACTCGGAGAACAAGGGTGCTGATCAGATTGTGGAGACACAAGCCCAGGTTGATGAACTTAAGGGAATCATGGTCCGAAACATAGGTATTTATCACTTCACTTCCTGCTCTGCACACAGCGTGCAACCCTAGGTCCCAGGGGAGCATCCCTTTCGGAGGCATTCCCAACGGTATTGTGCAGCTGATGCTTTATGGGAAGCCAAGGTTTACCTGCCATCTTCTGCAGTGGTAACCTGGTTGAACAACAGAGTCTGCTACAGTTGACGAGTATTCCATGCCACATACAGAAGTACTCTGAGTTTGCAGAGGAATTTGTTTGCACTAAGATTTCACTGTGAGTGGCAGATTGGGATTGAGGAGTTGTGTTGCAGACCAATGGTGGATGCACTCCAAATTCCAAATGCTCAATCTCCATTCTACATTGAAAACCATGTGGGCCTGAGTGCAGGATCAAGGCCTTAGCAAAGCACTTGTATCACTCCTTTGCTGATGGATTTGAAGACTCTTAAAGCTGGAAAGATTTGGAACTCCTTCTGTTCTTGGAGAAGGCAATGGTTTATCCAAACTAAGGGTTTGTCTACACAGTGGGGTAATGTGCTCTACGGGTTTGTGTTTTTTAAAATGCGTTACTTGGTCTGGGTAGACCTAGCTGGTGTGCTTTGATGTAGTGCTGTTTGAAATGCATTGCATTAAAGCACACTAGGGAACCTTTAGTGCACACCAGCAGGGTCCACACAGGCCAATTAATGTGCAGCATGTTAGTGTGCTTTAGAAATCACACTCCTCTAGAACACATTACCCCACTATGCAGACAGGCCCTAAAATGCACTTGGCTCCTGGCCATAACCATGTAGATTAAATAGCAACTCACCAGTTTCTGATGTAGGGCTCTTTTACACTAAAATATTTACTTCTGGACCCAAACTATATAGCAGGTTTATAGAGTTATACAAGTGAGATGAAGCTAGAGGTACTGTATTAATGCTTCCTTCAAAGGCTCGAGTAGCTTGTTAAATGACTAATCCAGAGGTAGGCAACCTATGGCACGTGTGCTGAAGGTGGCACGCGAGCTGATTTTCAGTGGCACTCACACTGCCAGGGTCCTGGCCACCGGTCCGGGGGGCTCTGCATTTTAATTTAATTTTAAATGAAGCTTCTTAAACATTTTAAAAACCTTATTTACTTACATACAAAAATAGTTTAGTTTTCTATTATAGACTTATAGAAAGAGACCTTCTAAAAACGTTAAAATGTATTACTGGCACGCGAAACCTTACATTAGAGTAAATAAATGAAGACTCGACACACCACCTCTGAAAGGTTGCCGACCCCTGGACTAATCCATAGTGTAACCTGTTTCCTTTTGAGGGCTTCATTCATAAACAGTGCCCTAGCCCACTGCAATGGAGTTCAAGAAAAACTTGCTTCCTCACTTAAGGTAGAGGGCCAGATCCTCAGCTGGTATAAATTGGTGAAACTCTAGGCTCTGGCTCAGAAACTGTTTTGAGATTGCTTGGGACATGAGAATTTTGACCTTTCTCCTCCCTCCACCTCAAATACTGTACTCCAAGTAGCTCAGAAGGGTTGTGCACAACCCTTAACTGTCTAGCAAGCGAGCTTTTTATTGGTAAATGTCAATTTCACTGTACTCATACCCAAACCGAGGAAAAAATATTCCCATCGACATTACTCAAAAATTAAATAAAATAAGAAAAATGCTGCTTGAGAACTTAGTTTGATTTAAGGATATTTACTTTGTACATCTTGATATATGTTGACAATTTGTGTTGAGAATCAAGAAACTTTATAACTTAACTACTACTGTCATGGGGGGCAGGAGGGGCGGCTCAGACAATTATGTGATTTCCTGGAGCTGTGAAAATTTAAATTGATAAAAATAGAAAAAAGCTTCAAAATAAATGGATTTGTTGAAATTATAAAAATAACAATTGAATACTGCCAACCCTAGTTGTATCAGAGATGTCTCCTGGCCTTGAAGTAGCAAAAGACTTGGATAAGGAAGGTGCTTTTGCACCTCGATTCTGACTGCTGATTTGTTCTTCCTCCCTCAGACCTGGTGGCCCAAAGAGGAGAGAAGCTGGAGCTGCTGATAGACAAAACGGAGAATCTAGTGGATTCAGTAAGTAGAGAGAGGCATAAGGGGAAGCGGGGATGAGGGGGCGGTGTGGACTTTATGTAGTAATCAAACATGCTGATACCATATTAGTTATGAGCAAAAGCTGATCTTAACCAGTGTGCAATGAGTGCAGGTGGCAGCAAAGGCCAGGCACAAGAACTGTACACAGACAGTGCAAATATTGGGGCTTCTAGACACTAAGCCCTTGTGTTTGTACTGTGACTAGCATGTCGTGTGTACAAGACACATGACTTTCTTTCAGTCCCCCATAGGCCTTACCTACGCAACTTGGTTTACAACAATAACAGCTGTATTTTGCTTGTGGCATAGCTCATTGTGCCCTCATTCCTTACTGCACCGTGTCTTCTGCTATTTGCATCCGAGGCGTAGCAGTGCATGAGATGTGTGGATGGATACTGGATACCAGGCTACATGTAGACGTGTCACAACTCTGCTCCCACTGGAATAATGCCTGATTCTTACTTCCTTGGTGCTAGTTCAGTTACGTGCTCCTGCTGCTGCATCCTGCTCTGTTAAGGAACCTTCCTGTATAAGTTCCACTTGTCCCCTTTCTTCCTGTCTGTGCACACAAGCCCCAAAGGCCCACATGAGCCATGACCTACCTTCCTGCTTTCTCATATGTAAGGGGAAACCGACAGTCTGGGTTTCCTTCATATTTTGGTTCCACGACATCTATGCTCTTCATTATAGAAACTTTAATTATGAAAATAACTCTCAGATCAATTGACTTCAGGCTAATTATGTGGAAGCCTTCTGGCCTACAATAGTGCTTTGGCTACTGAAAATAAACAAGTTAGTGCAGCTAACACCCACGTAGCTATGAATGGGTCCCCTAGAAGTTGTTCTTCATCTCTCAGAAATGTCAAGAAATGCCTTTAAGAAAAGAAGGGAGAAGAGGAAATAATGCAAGGGGGTGCAGAAAATTCACCTTGCTCCCAACAGAGGGCAATGCTGAGTTTCCTATAGCTGGATTGGATTGGAAGCTGTTGCATGGTCCTGTGTTGAATGTCCAGCATTCGCCAGTTCTTTTCCCATTCAGAGAGCTCTTTGCACTGGGATGTTTAGGGGTTTTTGTGCAAGAAATCATCTGATCTTAAAAGACAGCAGGCTGCCATCCTGGGATGAAACCCTATGATTTGGAGAGTAGTGGGGTTCTGGATTACAGAGAAGTAGGATGGGAAAAATGAATAAAGTGAAGACTTACCACAAAGTCAGAATAGCATAAATATTGGAGATAAGCTTCAGGTTCTCAAAGGTCTCCAGTCAGCTAGACCCAAAAGGGAGCTGGTATTGAAAGTTGCTCAGTTTGAAACCTCTCTTAGTATATTTATTTACAATGGTAAAACTGTGCACAATGCCCTCTACTACTGGATTGTAGGCCTGCAAATGGAACAGGGTAGATTAGCCTGGCTGTATGTGCAACACAGGACATGTGAACAGGCAGTGCATAGAAAAGCTGAGGGCTGAGCAGAGGGGTGCCCATGTACAAGGCTCATTTTCAGGCCCACACAAGCTTTGATGTTGCCTCTTTAACTACCACTTCTGTGGAAGAAAACTAGTGCAGAAATTTGCGGCCCCAATCCCCTCTCCCACTGAGACAATCAGTGCTAAAGGATTGCAGGTACAGAGGCAGGAATGGGAAGGGGCTCCCTTTCCTAGGGGAAGTGAAGGGACAAAGCAAATAAGTGACTTCGACAGGGGCCCCATACAACCTCCCACTGCTAAAGAGCAGGTCATTTCATCCATTGGAAGTATCCAGGTTTATTGTAAATGCTCATGAAGAGGTGGGGGTTGGGCACAGGGAATGCATCTCTTACTTACACACACACTCTCATTCTCTCTCATATAGACTTTAAGGCCTATCATGGGACTATCATGATCATGAAGTCTGACCTGCAGATTGCAGGCCACAAAACCTCACCCACTCACTCCTGTAATAGACCCCAAACCTCTGGCTTAGTTACTGAAGTCTTCAAATCATGGTTTAAAGACTTCACATTACAGAGAATCCACTGTTTACACTACTTTAAACCTGCAGGTGACCCATGTCCCATGGTGCAGAGGAAGGTGAAAAATCCCCAAGGTCACCACCAATCTGATGCGGGGCAAAATTCCCTCCTGACCCCTGAGCATGTGGGCAAGACACACCAGTCAGATACCTGGGAAAGAATTCTCTGTAGTAACTCAGAGCCCTCCCCATCTAATCATCCCATCACTTGTCATTGGAGATATTTGCAGCTAGCAGTTGCAGATTGGCTACATGCCATTGTAGGCAGTCTCATCATATCATTCTCTCCTTAAACTTACCAAGTTCAGTCTTGAAGCCAGTTAGGTTTTTTGCCCTACTGCTCCCCTTGGCAGGCTGTTGGAGATTAGGTATTGGATCAGGAGGGATTTTGATGAAATCCAACTGGAGGACTAGGGCTGCTCACCAGGGCACATGGACTAAGTGGGGGTTGTCTTTCTCTCATAGTCTGTCACATTCAAAACTACCAGCAGGAACCTGGCCAGAGCCATGTGTATGAAGAACCTCAAGCTTACCATCATCATCACAGTAGTATCAATTGTAAGTTACTAGCTTTCATCCTCTTTCTTCCAAGGAGGTAACGCACATGCTCCTTTCTAAAGTGAGGCCTGGATGTTAGAAAATGTCATCCGTGTCTCTTCACAGTAACCCCCAAATAATCAGTGTCTCCTAGTGATGGAGGTAAATGGGTTCCTTCTTGAAGGTTCTCTTCCCAAGGCTAGGAACCAGCATTTCACTACCCTTTTTACACTAGAGCAGGTGGCAATATCCTGCCTAGAGCTGGTTGGGAATTTTTCATCAATGATTTCCCCCCAAAAAATGCCCTTTTCCCAAAACTAATGTCTTCTGCAGAAAATTCATTTAGCCAAAAAATTCTATTTTTCCATCAAGAAAATTGAAGTGATGGTTCCCTGGCTGCCTGCCTGGAAAACTCTTGTCAATTACATTTTCTGCCTGCCAGTTCCAGGGCCCAGGAGTTAGGAGGCCAGCTCCTGGGGAGGAAGAGGCTTCCTTCAGGCAGGAAGCCAGACATTCCATTTTGGTTCTCTCGAAATGGAATTCTCTCAATCACTTCCCACAAAAAATGTTTCATTTTGACTTGTTCCATCCCAAATATGGAAGACCTTTTTCAAAAATGGGAAATCTTTTCCAGGAGGGGATTTCTCTTTTCCGCCATTGCTAGCCCTGCCCATAACAGTGTGCGGGGGTGATGTCCGCTATCTTAATGTCTCAGATGAGAGAGACAGGAAGTGTAGCATTCCAGAAGGTGACCTGTCGCCATTCTCTCTAGCTGTATATAGCCCTGTAAGAGAGGACAGGGACATAGCTGCCTTGTTGACTCTTAGAAGCTGAAGCAGTGAGTTCACAGTATCTGGGCCCAGTGGAGACTTAAGTTTTAAGGAGCCCTGTGCCCCTGTTGCTCTTACTTGAAATGGCTTCATGCCTGAGTCATGGCCTCTCCTCCTCCTCAGGTATTTACCCTCAAATGTTCTTGCTCTTAACATCTTTCATCTGAGGACCTCAAAGCATAATTGCAGGTGATATAGGTGCAGTGCTGTCCTTGATGGAGCCTTGCATCACTCTGCAGGGCGGGTGGTGTTATCCCAGAGTTGCAGTTGGGGAAACTGAAGCAGATTTTCCCCAAATTGTTGAATGCCAACAGAGAAGTTGGTGGCAGAGACAGGAATAGTACCCTAGTCTGGGTTTCCAAACCTTGCTCTAAGTACTTGACTACTACATGTTGAGTGATGGGAAAGATTCTCTATCCATGTGACAGTGCTTTCTTCCCCCAGGTCGTCATCTACATCATTGTGTCGGCTGCCTGCGGTGGGCTTACATGGCCCAGCTGTGTGTAGAAGTAAACAGATGGCCTGTGCTGATCAGCCAAGGATGAGAGCGCATGAGCGTGTGCGAAGGAGCAACCCACAAAATAACTTGTCTTTCACTACTGACACCTCATTCTTCCATCCTTCCAGGACTTTGGACTTCTCTTTGTCTTATCACCACTAGCGGCCCCAAATCACTGCCTCAGTGCAGTTTCAGCCTCAAGGAAGAGCTGTTTTAAAACTACTTGAAGGGATTTTGTTTCTTTGTTCTTTTGTCTTAACTGCAGTTTCTCAGCTGGGCAGGCAGCAAGGCTGGCTCCAGAGGGTACGTGCATGCTCATCTGTGTGTGTATGTACAGCTTTGCACTTTAATGGGAGCATGCTAAGCAGAGAACAGCATTGCTAGTGCCTCCATCTCTGCATGATGAGTGGGGTTGGAGAGCTCAAGGTGGGTCTATGAAGGTAGTCAGAGTGGTGAAAGTTCATTTTGCTGCCACTATATTGGGATCTAATTAACATCTCCTCCCTACATGTTTGGTCCACAAAGTGATGTATTATGTAGAGTTAAATGCTTGTTTGTTCAGGGGCCACCAATGCAAACATGGGTTGAGGTCACAAATGGAATGGCACAGTAGATGTTAAGATCCCTTAAAGGATCTTGGAGAGACCTCTCCCTCTTCAATATGGAACCCTTTTTTCCTTTGGGGTATCTCTTTGGACATCTGTACAGATGGGTGGGGATTGAGTGGGCATGTTGAAATGTCTCCTCTTTCACCCTCTGTATTCTGCCCAGCTCCCCTACTCTGTGACTAAGTTGATAGAGTAAAGGTGATGGTTGTGATAACTTGGCTGCTGTTTGTCATTGCATTTTAAGTATTGCTTCTGTCCTGTATGTTTAATCCTCCCCCACTCAAACTTACAGCAAGTGCTTATTACTCAAGATGGAAGAGATGGAACTGGGGCCAAGCTATTTTTCTAGTTTGCAAAGAGAATGTGTGTTCTGAGGTGCCATGTGCTTGCGTTTCCATCCTGGTCAGATCCTTCCACATGTTAAAGAAACAGGTAACTGATGGTTCCATCCCAGTTCTAGGTCTCATCTTGTGTTGGTCTGAAGGGACGCTCTTATCCAATATGTATTCTGGATTCTTATCTGTGGTACAAAACGCCACTGTTAACAACCAAAGGCAGGGGTCCTTGACAAATATACCGCCATGAGAACCTCACAGGGCCAAAAATAGCCCCTTAGAGACTTGTCCAGTGTCCGATGATAGCTTTGATTAGAAACCCTTTGTCCTATCTGGACGTCCTTATCCTAATTCCTGTATAATCCCTCAGTAGCTGAAATGGGGGTGGCACTGTCCAGTTATATACAATGCTGATTTGTAAAGTAGTGGCTTGAGGTCTGACCTAGGCAGTGTGTAAAAGGCTTGCTGACTCTTTTTATTGGTAAACTGTTCAATATTTCTTTTGAAAGAGCTCTGTTTCCTATGGAGGGGATGGAGACAAAAGCAAATCCTCTGATAAATGAGAAATACGAGATGGCTTAACACACACATCTAACTCCTGGGCCCTAGAGTTTCCCACTGCTCAGTCACTGAGCACTGAGAAACTAACTCCTACTATTAAGAAGGTGGAGATGTGTGTGTGGGAGGAAGGGAGAGAGGTTTAATACTAGTGCATATATTTAAAGCCATGTGCTTATTGCAGTGCCATTAATCAGATGTGATGTACAGAACAGCTTTTGCACTCTGGCCTTGAGGAGTTTATCCCTGAGGCCATTTAGTACTGGCTCCCCATGAAATGGGGCACTGAAAACCAAATTGCCACCCCATCACATCCTTTGTGCTGCTGTATGTTACACACTGATCTCTCAGCAGGTTCCATTCTGTAACAGTACTCTAAATTCACATCCATGCATGGGTTTATCCTCAGTAGACCAAAATCTGATCCATGGTAGTTGGAAATTGGTAAGTAGTGACTTCCTGCCATGCAAGTAAACATATTTGTGACTCTGTTCTCCATGTTAAGTTCACTTCCATCACCAGTTGGACTAACCACTGAGAATAGAGGCAGTGCTGAGTTTATTGGAAACCCTCAATCAGTGAAATACTCATGGCTCATCTGGGAAGAGCAGGAGATAGGTCATCTCCTTCAAGTATGCACTACTGCCCACAATCAATGTGCAACTCTGCATGTTTTAGGGATTGGTGATGTTACTGTTAATTTACTATGATTTGTCTCTTTATGTACAAATACTTTTTATATAAACGATTTCCTCTTGTTTTAAAGAATGCAGTGAGGCATTACTGTAAAACAAAGTTATCCTGTTTGAATAAATTTACTGTATGGCAAATGACCAGACTTTGCTAAGTTTTGTGAAGGGTAGCTTGGCATTAAATGGCCGCTCCCAACTCATGGTGGAGGAGCACCACTAATCTTAAACCCAGCAGTGTTCCGAAAAGTTATTCTTTAAGACCCTGTGTAACTTAACTTGGTGTGCTTCTGAAATAGGCCAAATTACTAAAAGATACTATAAAAGCAATAGTGCTGCCTGTCCTGATTACTGACTTGGTTCCTCCTGAGCAGGGAAAAAACTAGTCACTACTACCTTGCCTATAAAGCGCATTATCTAAATCCTCCACATGTGGAAGAGTTTGGTACATAGACTTAAATCAAGTAGAAAAACAGCTTAAAACAAATCTGGACCATCTTTTTCTGTTTGCACAGCACCTAACATGAGGGCTATAATAAGGGTTGTCTAGCTGCTTCTGCAATGCACTTTTGCATAGCCATCCTCAGCATGACAGATGTTGCCCTCAGGAGCTACACTGGAATAAGCTGTCAGAAGTGAATTTTGTGGAGAACACTCAGTAAAAAGGATGCAGAGATTCTTAATCTGAATCTAAACCAACCATCCCCTTTTCATGTGCGAGAAGAAAGGGAAGAGGCTTAGCTCTTTCTGCTCAATCCCACAGCAAAACACTTCTTGCAGGTTGGAATACAGCTTAAATCTTCAAGTAGAAGTATTCACCAGAGAAGGAAGGAACTGTCAGATTATTCACTGCCTTACACCTTAGTCATTTAACTCTCTGATGACATGAGAAGGGGCAGTTACCTGTTCCGTAACTGGCGTTCTTCGAGATATGTTGCTCCTGTCTCTTCCACAGTAGGTGTGCGTGCTTGCCACGTGCACCCGTGCCACAAGTTTTTCCCTTAGCAGTACCCATACTGGGGGAGCACCGCGGCGACCCCTGGAGTGGCGCCTGTATATTGTGCTATAAGGGCAGCCACGGGCTCCCCCCACCCTCGGTTCCTTCTTGCCGGACAACTCAGACAGAGGGGAAGGAGGGCGGGGTGTGGAATAGACATGAGCAACACATCTCGAAGAACGCCAATTACGGAACAGGTAACTGTCCTTTCTTCTTCGAGTGATTGCTCCTGTGTATTCTACAGTAGGTGATTCCAAGCAATAGCTGTTGGAGGTAGGTAGGAGTTCACGAGGGTTCGGGACGAAGTATTGCCCTGCCGAACCCGGAGTCATCCCTAGACTGGGAGACGATTGTGTAATGCAAAGTAAATGTGTGAACTGAGGCTCACGTGGCTGCCCTACAAATGCCCCGAATGGGGACATGGGCTATGTAGGCAGCTGATGAGGCCTGAGCCCTCGTAGAGTGTGCCCTGATGATCGATGGCGTGGGAATCCCTGCCAGAGCATAGCATATGCGTATGCACAAGGTGATCCAGCGGGAAAGCCTCTGGGTGGAGATAGGCTGCCCCTTTGCCCGCTCAGCCGAGGCAATAAAAAGTTAACAGGATTTCCAGAATGGCCTAGTCTGATCCAGATAAAAAGCCAATGCCCTACACACATTGAGCGTGTAGAGGCAGCGTTCCTTGTTAGAAGAATGGGGCTTAGGACAGAGCACGGGGAGAAAGATGCTCTGCTCCATATGGAAGGTAGAGACCACCTTCAGGAGGAAAGCCAGGTGTGGGCGGAGCTGGACTTTATCCCTATGGAAAACCATATAGGGGGGTTCTGAGGTTAAGGCCCTGAGTTCTGTGACACATCGGGCCGATATGATCGCCATGAGGAAGGCCACCTTCCATGAGAGGCGCGACCAGGAACACGTGGCCAGGGATTCAAAAGGGGGGCCTCGTGAGATGGGACAAGACCAGGTTGAGGTCCCATTGCAGCATGGGGGGCCTAGCGTACAGGAATGAACAGTCAAGGCCCTTCAGGAAACGGGAGGTCATGGAGTGGGAGAAGACCAAGTGCCCCTGCACCGGCAGGTGAAAGGCCAATGTGGCTGTGAGGCAGGTGCCAGACCCTGGGCCCTAAGGGATAAGAGGTAGTCCAGGACAAACTGGAGAGGTGCAGCGGAGGGGGAAACTCCCTGCTCACTCGCCCACCTGGCAAACTTGGACCACTTCGCCACATACGTCCGACGTGTGGACGGCTTCCTGCTTTCCAGGAGGACTCGCCTTATCTGCTGCAAACACCTGTTCTCATCCTCATGCAGCCATGCTGTCAGGTGGAGCGCAGCCAGATTGGGAGAGGAGGTCCAGATGGAGTGGCAGCGCCCTCGGGGGGGGCCGCCAAGAGGCGTAGGAGGGGCCCGTACCAGTGCTGGCTGGCCCACGCCGGGGCTATGAGTGACTCTTGCCTTGTCCGCTTTCACCTTCTGAAGGACCTTGGCGATGAGGGAGAATGGGGGAAAGGCATAGAGCTCAGGAGGAACGCGTCGGAGATCGCGCCTTCCCCCATCCCTCTCCTGGAGCAGAATGGGGGAAATGCCGGTTCTGGCAGGTTGCAAACAGGTTGATCTGGGGAGCTCCCTACTCTTGGAAGAGTTGGTGAGCGACCTCCGAGTGGAGCGACCACTCGTACTGGGGGGAGAAGACATTGCTGAGGCAGTCAGCTTGCGTATTGCAGATGCCCGGGCAGTGAGCTGCTTTCAGGGAGATATCGTGGGCCATACAGAACTCCCATAGGTTCAGGGCTTCCCAGCAGAAGGGTAGAGAGCAAGTCCCACCTTGCCTGTTGATATAATACATGGCAGCAGTGTTGTCTGTGAGGACCCTGACCGCCCTACCACGGAGATGCAGGAGGAAAGCCACGCACGCCAACCGTATCGCCCTGAGTTCCTTGACTTTTATGTGCAGGGACAAGTCTGGGGTTGACCACGTTCCCTAGGTTTGCACATCCCCCATGTGGGCTCCCCAGCCGAGGTCCAAAGCCTTGGACATCAGGTCTATGGCTGAGTTGGCCTCCCTGAAGGGAACCCCTTGCAGCATATTGCTCGGGCAGGACCACCATAGAAGGGAACCCAGTATCGGGGACAGAACCGTGAGCACTTTGTCCAGACCGTCCCGAGCTTGGGAGAATTGGGAGGCCAACCATATCTGGAGCGGCCTCATACAGAGTCTGGCGTGGCAGACCACGTAAGTGCATGCCACCATGTGTCCCAGAATCCAAAGACACACCCTCGCTGTGGTCATCGGGAAGGCCATGACCAAGGCGATGAGATCCCTTAGGGTCTCGAACTTGCCCAAGGGCGGAGAGGCTGTGGCCCTCAAGGAGTTCAGCAGGGCCCCAATGAACTCTATGCGCTGAATGGGCACTAATGTTCATTTGGTCTCGTTCACAAGAAAGCCCAGATCGGTGCATGTTGATAGGAGCAGCTCCACGTGGGACTCCACTTCGAAACGAGACTCTCCCTTGAGGAGCCAGTCGTCCAGCTAAGGGAAGATTTGTACCCCCTCCCACGTGAGGTAGGCCGCCACCATGGACATACATTTTGTGAAAACTCTGGAAGCCGTGGATAGGCCAAAGGGGAGGACCGCAAGCTGGTAGTGGTCCATCCCTACCATGAATCAGAGGAAGCACCTGTGCCCCTCGAAAATATGGATGTGAAAATATGCGTCCTGAAGGTCCAGGGCCGCGTACCAGTCCCCCGGGTCCAGGAAGGGGATAATAGAAGCCAGGGACACCATGTGGAACTTGGAACAGGTTAGGAACCTGTTCAGGTTGTGTAGATCCAGAATGGGCCTGAGACCCCCTTTTGCCTTTGGGAGCAGGACGTATCGGGAGTAGAACCCTTTGCCCTGGAACTGTACCGGTACCTTTTCCACTGCCTCCACGTGAAGCAGCCGATCCACCTCCTGACACAGGAGGCGGACATGTTCCGAGTCCCCCTGGGCTATCATGGAGGGCGGGTGATTTGGTGGGGGTGAGGTGAACTGCAACACGTAGCCCTTGGAAATGGTACTGAGGACCCACTGGTCCGAAGTTATGCGGGACCACGCTCTGAGGAAGGCAGACAATCGGTTGCAGAACACAAACTTTATTAATTGGGGGGGTCTCCCTGGCAACAGTCAAAACCGCCTCTTGCCCTTAGAGGGTCCAGACTGCGGGGCAAAGTGGGACTGCTTCTGAGACCAACGCTTCTGGTCTCTGGATCTTTTGTATGGGGGCTCATATCTGCTCCTCGCAGGTTGAGCCGCCAGAAGTGATTTGGCCTTGTCCTTAGCCAGAGGGACGTAGAGGCCCAAGGTCTGCAAGGTGGTGCGGGAATCTTTCATCCTATGCAGCCTGATGTCCGTCTGGTCCGCAAATAGCGCCTTGCCATCAAACGGGAGGTCCTACATCAGGGATTGGGCCTCCGTCGACAGCCCCGACAACAGGAGCTATGACGCCCTGCACATGGTGATTGTGGAAGCCATTGAGCAGGCCGCCGGGTCATCTGACGCCACTTGCGGGGCCACTTTAGCTGCCGCCACCGCCCCCTCTTCCGCCAGAGCCTTGAAGTCCTTCCTGTCCCGGTCCGGGAGAGGGGCTCAAACTTAGGCAGAGACTCCCACAGGTTGAAGTGGTACCTGTTCAGTAAGGCCTGGTGGTTGGCTACCCGAAGCTGGAAACTAGCAGATGAATAAAATTTTCTGCCAAAGGAGTCCAGTCTCCTGGCGTCTTTGTTTTTGGGGGTGGGCGCAGGCTGGCCCTGACGCTCTCTGTAGTTTATCGATTCCACCACGAGCGAGTTAGCTGCCGAGTGGGAATAAAGGTATTTGTGGTCCTTCGCCGGCACAAAGTACTTCCTCTCAGCCTTCTTGGATATTGGGGCTAAGGAGGCGGGAGTTTGCCACAGCGAGTTTGAGATGTTGGCAGTACCCTGATGCAGAGGCAGGGCCATGCGACCCCGTGCTGAAGGGGACAGGGAGTTAAAGAGGGAATCAGACGGACCCTCCATCTACTTGGCCTGCAGCTGGAGGTTGGATGCCACCCGCTTTAGCAGGTCTTGGTGCGCTTTGAAGTCCTCCTGCTGGACCGATGGCGGAGGCGCTGCTATGGTGTCATCC